TTAACAACCAAACATGATAATCAAGTAATATATAAAATGACATTACCTCAGTAATGAGGATTACCCCCAACCAAACACACATTTAAAGATATCTCTTGTATATACTCCGACTTTCTTCAATTGTTTTTCTTGTTCTCTCAAAGATATCTCTCGGGCATACTCTCAAAGATGTCTCTCAGACATACTTCGACTCTCTTGTTCAATTGTCTTTCTTGTCCTCTCAATTGACATGGCATCGAAGCATATCTCTTGGGCATACTCTGACTTTCTTCAATTGCCTCTCTTGTCCTCTCATCTCTAACAACTACCACAACATTTGGAAATACTTCTTTGGGGAAAACATATAATATCTGTGATATTGATCATATATTTGAGCTGCATTGCATGTCATATTGTATTTTATGAAATGAGATTGTGTTTGTTCCCACTTCGTAAATTAGGCCTTTTGGTGTGGGGAGCACACAACACTCCGTAACTAAATTAGGATTTTAGTTATGGTTCGATTCCAGCTGGTGATACGTTTCTTTTCCATTTTGTACCTTTTCTTCACAGTGTTGATGCAAAGTTTGCATTGAAAATCGGTATGGTGTGTTTGGATTGAGTGAGGTGGAGAGCGTTGACTGTAGCGACCGCATCTTGCCAATCCTTTTGACGGAGATAACCTCTGTCGAGCTCCATATAACGGCGGCCCCAGGGGTTCTTTTGATGGAGATAATCTCTTTCGAGCTCCATATAAAGGCGGCCCCAGACGTCAATGAGAGTAGCCTCTTCTCTCAAGGGATTAGGAAACGGACGCTAGTAGGGCGTAATGGCACTGGTGGTGGTTGACGGGACGAGGGATTTCGTTAGGTCCACATTGAATATTAAAGAATGTGGATGATATCTGTGGAAATATGGAATGCACAACTTTTCCTTGATCTCTGCTGGAAGAGATCAAGGAGTGATTTTAGCATTCAATCAATCATCCTAATTTATACGATTGATTGAATAAATTACATTTATTTGTATTTATTGATTTCCTTTTCTACATTTACAAAATTTGTATAAATTGGCTATTGTACAGGCTTATACATATATACAGAAAATACATTTTCTCTTCTCTCTTCTCTCTTTCTCTTTGACACACTCTGGCAGTATCATAGTATTGAACTACTACTCTGTCTTCTCTCTTGTTTTCTGACAATATCTTGTGACGAAGAAGAAAGAGAGAATATAAAAAACCACCACTAGGAAGGAGGTTTTATGAGCTCTTGAGCTCGAATCTCCATAGAATCTCCATAGGGGTTAATAAGGGTGGTCACTGAGAAGTTTATCTAGTCATCAACTTCAAAGCTCTGAAGGATTAGTTGAAATATATATACAAAAAGATAATGGATAAATTTGTATACAAAATGGACTTAATAAATATGATAATAAAAGATTTGTAACACATCATTCATATATAATGTGATAATGTGACACTATTGATAAAAGAGATTTAGAGGTCAGTGCGATGGGACGACGGAAGGAGAATAATTATACAGTAATTAAATTTATAATAAGAAATTTTCTACTAAACACATTTCCTTCATTATAATAACATGTCAATTTTTCATAATTTTGTGCAAGCATAGCCGGGTATAATAGGAAATAATTGGGAAAAATAAGTGTTTATCATTGCCGAGTATTATATTTTAGAATTCTAAGTATGTATTAAACACAAGCTCAAGTTTTGATACAAACGTTGAAATACGATTTCTTTAGAATAGTAAATATAATATGTTTATTTCTCCTATGAATTTCAGTGGAAATGCTACAGTAATATACTCTTCCTGGTGAGTCAATTTTCATTTTTTTTTTCTAAGTAATACTACGCTTACAAATAAATTTTACAAAAATCTTCATACAAAGTGATGTGGCAAAAAATGAATAGAAGAATAAATTTAATGAGTTTGACTTTTTGTTTTACTCTTCTATTCATTTTTTGCCATCTCATTTTGTATGTAAATCTTTGTAAGATTTCTTTGTAAGTATAATGTTATTGTTTTTTTTTAGTGGTAATTGGTGGTCACTCGTTGCTTGTGCTACCACTTAGAACCTAAGACTCCTTGCTTTTTTAACTCATCAATCCATCCTTCATTTCATCAGGCCACAAGGGGTGGTTCCAATTTTCAATTTTTTCAAGGGAATACATTGGTTATTTTAGAATTAATTACATGAATTTTGTAACTAATCTCTGGAATCTATTTAACATCATCTAAACCCAAAGAACCAAGTAAGTCATAATAACTGACAAGTCACAATGTTATTGCGACAAATCTTCTTGATCATCAGGTCAATCTTTAGGGTTATCTTGTAAAATACTTTAATTAATGTTTCTTCAAACAATCATCTAAAACCTTTGTAAAATATTAAAAACCTGATAATCTTTTATGGTTTCAAAAAAGTATGAAGATTATAATCAATCTCACTGAAAACTAATCCCCTGTACTAAATAATAGACAACCATTAACACTGCTTTAGGCAAGAGACAATGAGGAAAAAAAGTAATCCTCTCCAGATTGTGAAGCCGCTGTTGATGAAACTGGTGGGAATGCTGTGGGTACTTGCTGGACCAGTGCAATGCTCAAACCCTAAATCAGTAGAAAATTTAGCACGATAAAATATCAGACAGGATCAGAAATTCAGAATTATTATTAATTGATGAAGTGCATTACGGATTTTACCTTCATAAGGTTCTGCAGATCAGCCTGTTCTCCAACTGTCATCCAGGCGTCCATGCGCTCGAAAAACGACCAAGAAGATTTTAGGGTTCGGTTCGAGGAGGTGATACGTGCCTTCTCGATTTTGTACCTTTTCTTTACAGAATCCATGCGAAACCTGCATTGAAAACGAGTACGGTGCTTTTTCTCAGACTTAGCGTGAAGAGCGTTGACGGCGTCGGCTACATGTTGCCAATTCTTTTGATGGTGATTACCTCGGATGAGCTCCATACAACGGTGGCCCCAGGCTTCAATGAGAGTAAAGGTAGCCTCTTGGCTCCAGGAAGATAGTCGGGCCTCTTCGCTACAGGAATCTATACGGGCACGAGCACGTACAGTTAACGGAAGCGAGGAAAAACCGCAACCCAATCGAGATGGTGAAGTCAGTGTTGATGAAACTGGCGTCGTCACCTCATTAACTGCTGTAGCTTGCTCCTTTCTATGAAAGCTGCAAGCAACACACAATAAGAATTGTTCTATAGAACACCATTTTGAGAAATCAAGAAAAAAATTCATAATTAGAGGGCACTTAAACATAACATCAACAGACAGACTTTTAAACAGTACCTGGATGTTGGATATGGAACATCGTTCACCACTTGCTGCACGGCCTTTGCCGGGGAAAAATTTATCAGAATAAAAAATCGAGAATTATCATTAATTAGTGTATTAGGGTTTTACCAGCATAAGCTTCAGCAGATGAGCCGAGGCTCTATTCGCCATCAAGGTGTCCATATACTCGGGAAACGGCCAAGAAGATTTTAGGATTCTTCTGTTGGAAGAGGTGGATGTGGCAGGTCTCTTCTTGGCCTCGTGTATTTTCTTGATATAATCCTTGCGAGACTTGCATTGAACATCAGTACGGTGCTTTTTATTAGGAATAGCGTTGAGAGCATCAATGATAGTAGAGAACTGTGATTTCTTCCGACTCCAGGAATCAGGTAACGGACGCGTGTAGGGCGGGATGGCGGTCGTGATCGTGGTGGTTGATGGCGTGGCGGAGTTCTTTGGGTCACCCATTGAATGTTAAAAATTGATTGTCTGGAATGTGGATGGGTTGTTGTGATGGAGAATAAAGAGAGATATAAAAGGAATAAACGACTTTTTCCCACCCAAGGTTTTCCTTAATAATTTTTCTACCCAAAAAGTTTTAAAATACCACTTTTTCACTCAAAATTTATATTCTATTAATACTCAAAATACATTTCACGTTTTCAGCCAAAGTTCAGCAAGTTACCAAGAGCTAGGATAGAAGTAGTTTTGTAGAGTGAAGGTTGGTGGATCAAATAGTGGTGACTGATTGAATATTTGTTGTCAAAATCAGTCGAAAATCAGCTAAGAACATAAAACCTTAACTTTGCAGTGTCTGACAAGTGATGAGAAATCAAGTACTAAAGTGAGAGAGGTTTTGTATAAAGGAGACCGGAGATTTAAATAATGGTAACAAAGATAATTTTTGCGGTTGGAACCGGCATTGAGTAGTAATAGAATATAAACTTTTGGTGGGAAAATGATATTTTGAAATTTTTTGAGTGTGAGAGTGGCGGTAAGGCAAACCTTGGGTGGGAAAAGTTGTTTACTCATATAAAAGAGAATTACAGGTCCGTGCTAGAGGGACGTAATTAGTAATCCAAACGCATAACAAAGAATTTCTGCTGACACATATCCTTCTTTAACATAAAATGTCACTTTTCAAAATTTCCTGCAAACATATCTGAGTACTAAAATGAAATAAATGGGTAAAAAATATATTTATCTTTTATCGTATATAATATCTATTATTCATATTTTGGCTTTCATTCTTATCGTCTATGACGTTGGATGGATGGATGAGGTTTCAATTTAATAAATTAATGATTTTGATAAGTAAATTCTTATTTTCATAACCAAGTCTTGATGTAAATGTTCATCCATCAATAACACACATTTAACGATTTGATCTAAAATGCTTGATATATCATTTGATGGGCTGTATTAATAAAAAATTTGGTAAAATAAATCTAATAAAATTTTCAATATCATTAAAATTATTTAATCCCATTAAAATAAACTAATATTAAGGAAAAGATAACAAAATATTATCTCTGGTTGTAGATGGGGTTTTCAAAGAGTCTGTTTTTCAAGTCCGGATTTTATGCCTAATGGCTCTAATCTTTGATGGTTTTTGAAAAATATGACCATTCTAATGAAACAGTCTGAAAAGAGTACATGAACGATAATAATATCGAAAAAGAATCATCAACTTTATAAATGTACACATTGACAACCATTAATGCTGCGATTTAGAGGTTGAAAAAGTGATTAGACAAAGAGGAAATCAGTCAAATCAATCTAAAACTCATTTTTATTTCTCTGGATACATCTGCTGATAATACAAATGAAGACATCACCCAAATAAGAAGAGAAAACTGAAAAATGCCTCTACAAATAGTTTACAACCCCCAGTACAGGAGTAAGAAAAAAAAACTTCAAGTGTGCTGCTATTTCCCTGTAATATAACTATTTTGGTATCGTATGGCAATCTCAGCAGTACCAAGCCCCACTCAATGTTTCGTAAACATTCCTTGTGTTAGTGAGGAAAAATCGTAATCCTTTCCAGTTTGTGAACCCGGAGTTGATGAAACTGGGGATGCTGTAGCCTGCTGTTTACTAGTTCCAGTTCCTGGGGTCGTTGTGCCATTAGCTGGAGTAGCTAGTCCCATAGAATAAATGCTGAAAGCAAGAGACAGTAACAATTGTTAATATTCAGATATCAAATGAGTGAATGCAATTCAGTTAGTCTGGCTCGTACATCAGCAACAACAAAACACTCATAAAAATTTAACGGCCGTTGAATTGTTAACAGATCAATGCCATAAAGAACCATGTAATATATTTTATTTATTTAATGGCATGTTAGTTAATCAGAACTCTAGCAGTTCTGCAACCTCCCATATCTTCTCATAAGTCGTAAAGACACCTCAATTCAATTTATTAATACTGCTAGTAACAAGAATGGGATTTTCTGAATAGTTTCATTAACTAAAAGATGGTGGTTTGCTTTTCCACCCAAACACTGTTAACTAGTTGGCTAAATCATTATAACACATAAGAGTCCCACAAAAGGTACCTGGAAGTTGGATACGGAACAGCACCCCCCACTTGCTGTGCTGGTGCCATGCTCATAGCCTAATTCGGTAGAAAATTTAGTACAATAAAAAATCAGCAAATGAGAATTATTAAACGGCATTATTAATAGATGAAATGTATCGTGGATTCTACCTGCATAAGCTTCTGCAGGTCAGCCTGTCCTCCAACTGGCATCATCATTCCAGGAATTTGGTTGCCAAAGTTTGGCAAATTCTGAGTGGGTAAGTTGGCACCATTGGATCCAGGGTGTTGAAAACTGCTGGGAAATTTTTTATCCCCACCTCCAGCTTTAGCTGCAGCAGCCATCATAAGTGATTGTTGCTGTGCCAACATAGCAAGTTGATGTTGATGCATAGCAAATGGTGACACCATATTGGACTGCATTGCATCCAAACAAGAGTGTCAAACAATGTATATTTACAATCAGAAGGGATTCGCTAGCCAAAACAGATAAATATAAGGTAAATCTCGTAAAAAGGGATTCTCCTCACAAGTACAGGACAAATTTAATAGTTCAGACAAACAAGACAGTATGCAGTTGCTACAGGTAAAAAAATCACACTGATAAAAAATTTCTTAAGAAGTGTTCCAAAGAAACAGAAAAAAAAAAAAAAAAAAAAAAAAAAAAAAAAAAAGTTGCATCACGTGCCTTCTCAAAAAGGCTCATAATGTCATTTTTCAAATCTTTCTGGGGCTGTGCTGAAACTGGGGGAGTTGCAAGAGAATCTGAATCTTTAAATAAGTCCTCAATTCCTGGGGCAGACTGGGGCTTACTCTCAACTGCTTTGGTTGAATCAGTTTTCTCTGCTGTTGATGATTCTCCAGCAGCTGCAAATTTTGATAAGGTTCAAGTCAAACAATCATGGACAATCACAACTGTCCCTCACAAATCTAAAGGAGCAAGAAGCACATAACAAAAATTTAAACAAGACAGTGGGGATAGTAAAAACTGGTTAGGTGATCCTAGTCAGTAAAAGTTCAGGGGAAGCCTTGAGACATACACTGGAAACCTGCCCAAAGACCATCATCGGCAGATGTAGCCTCGGAGCCATTTTCACTCGGACCATCCATGGATAGCATATCAAAAAGGTCAGTAGCAAAATCAACCTTAGGAGGGGATGCTACAGGAGTAGCATTTGCACTCTGCTTTGTTGCCTCAGCTGGTGCCACTGTTGATTCAGTGTTCTGAACTACCTGTTGAGGCTTTGGAACAGGAGTAACCTGTTCATATGCAGGTATGTCATGTTGCACATTAATAATCTGTTTTAATACCAATTTCTATATGTAAAAAATCAGCAACTATAGGAGAGGCACCCTTTCCAAAATACACAGCAGAAACAACTAGAACATTGTTTTAAATCAGTCCAATCAACATAGATATCAGACAACCCGGAACTATATAGACATGCATGAACTGGTCCATTGTCACATCAAGAACACTGACCCTATTAAGTATCACTTGTTTACGAATTCACTTCATAGATATTTTCAAATGTTATGTAAGTATACTGTCAATTACATGTGCATGTATGTGATCCACGATCCCGTAAAAAGATAGCCAAAAGAATGATTGGTCCTCATGGTGAGAGACAAACTCAGAAAGAAGCATCTTCATATGATTTCAGTAAGTTTTGTATCCCTACAAAATGCAGCTACATCAATCAAAATCTAATTCTGAATCTTTTCAATAGAATTTGGAGTATCTTGGTCAATTAATTCCATTCAAACTATTGAGCTATAAAAGCAACATTCCCATGCAGATCACATAAAAGAAAATCCAACAAACTTGGTGAGAGATAGATTTTTTCATCATTATTTTAACTACATGCAGCTGTAACATTATACACACACACACACACACACACACACACACATATATATATATAAAAGACCCTCAGTAGACAAAAAGGTTTCGCTTCCTATCACAGATAATCAAATCCAACTAAAAAGGGTTGTTAACAAGATATAGGAGAAAAATGAGCATATAAAAGCAATGAAAACTAGATTGACAACATTTAAGGAGATCCAAAAATGTAATATCCCTAGCATATAAAACCTAACCAGTCCTGCTAACAGCTACAATCAGATGTGCTTTTAAAACATGGTGCTACGAGAAGATAAAAGACCACATCTACAGTCAATGTCAGAATGATAGACTTAGGGCTGCATTGAGAAGAGCCAGTATAATAATAATTTTTAAATACATTTTACATATTTAGGACTTCATCAATTCACTATTCCTTCTTTTACCACTTTTATCTCCTTATTAATATTTCTAAATTGTTTCATATATTACATGTTTGCCGCTATTCGAACATCTGCACTTACTCCTGACAAACAATGCATTACAGAAAATCTAAAGATGCATCACATGGGAAAAATAAAAAGGAAAAAGAAAAAAGAAAAAAGGCAATAAATTGAAAACAGCCGATTAACAGAAGCCAATAAAAATACCTGTTCAGGTCCTTTAGGGGGGACAGGAAGACTAATTCTTGTAGCAGGAGCAGAAACTCTTGTACTTGGTGCTTGAACATGCTTCCTCTCTGGAAATAAGTTTTCAGCATGCCCACTTTTTTCCACAGGTCTCTGCCAATGAACAGAAGTATTCTCTTCATGCCCTCTGGGAGGTGATTTTGGCTGTTCATCTCGAGCAACCCATCTTTTCTCCTCATACCTGTAAGAAAATGTGATGATGAGAGAGAGAATGTAAACCAGTAGCCAACTGCAAAGAAGGCTCAACAGATAACAAAACAGTAGATACAACTAATTGAAGACATACTTTGCACGAATGAAATTCTCAATTCCAACTCTGTCATAGTTGGGGGGTAGCTCAGCTTCCCAGTAACTGTTCGCTTTCTCATTTCCCATTGCTGTATACATAACATAAGCCATTGTCATATGTAGCAGCTGTTTTTAATTCAATCTTAAAATAAACCATATCAACTAGAAAGACAAATTTGTAACCTAACAGACAAGCTTACATTGAATAAATGCAACCTGCTCTGGAAGCCAGGTGTCCAGGGTGGCAGATCGAACCTGAAGCAGAACCAGTAAAAATACATAAATGCCTTCACAATACAACTGGTTTTCCACTAACTACAATATTACAGAGAATTGAGATATAAATTTATAAATCAGCTTTTACCATTGGTAGCCGAATATGATGTCTCAATAATTAGGAGAACAAGCTTAAATGGAAATCAACAGAAATATTTCATAAACCAGAAAGAAACCGAGTTATACTAACAGCTAGTGAAGCCAAATCCATGGGTAACAGCCAAAAGTACAACTTATATCGCATGAAAGTTACTGATTTATAGCTGAAGTGACCTGAAGTCACAATAGTTTAATGCTCACAAGCATTAAAAATACAAAGATAAAATAGAATATGCCTATCATTACACAGAACTCTATAACCCAAGAAGGACTTAAGCAATGCAACTAAAAATATCCAACCGACAATTCATCATTTTTTTTCTTCTAATGGCTAGCAAACAGCATGCAATATAAGCAGTATATGGACAAATCTACCCAGAAGTTACTTAAAGCAGCCTCAACCCCTTCCATAAAACTAATATACTTTTAAGAAACAAAGAAGCATGAATTTGAAGAACAGAAAATCACCTTTGAAATGTGTACCCCAAGACTTCTGTGTATTCCAGAACATTGCATGCAAATAAAGATACCTAAATTCACACTAGCCCATCTTGGACCTCTGCATGTCAATCAAATAACCTTTAGCAACTAATCTGATACAAAAAGTAACGAGATAACAAGAATTTGCTGATTCATAAAAGAAGAAATCAGAAGATCCATTGTTATTAAGTCAATTTCTATTTCATATATTTAGTTCGTCAATATTACAATATCCATATCATCTCTCCAACTCTATAGAGACATACTTGGCTTTGCAGTCAGCACATTCCCTATTCTCTGGCAATTTAAGAAGTCCTTCCAAAATCTGCATCCAAGTAAATTTTCAAAACATAAGTATTCAAAATGCAGAATGAGAAACAAAGGTAGAGGAAGATCAACAACACCAAAAATCTCTAACTCTGAACTCAAAGTGGAAAAAATAATCAAAATTCTAATAACTTTGCAAACTAATAAAGTCACAAGCCCACAGCACGTAAATGAAACTCTATCATCAAACACCGTTAACAAATCAATGCACATGAACTAATCCAGATGCCACCAATCTATACATAATTATCCTCACTAAGCTGATCTCTCCAGATTTCACTAGGCAATAACCAAATCCAATAGGTAAAGCACTGGCGTTTATGATAACGTATCATTGCACAAAATCAACGGCAATATCAATTAAGCAAGTCATAACGCATCTTAGATAATTATATATATAATAAGAATCTCAATTAAGCTCAGAGTTGTTCCAACGTGTACATTGAATCTCAACCTTCACGATTATTATTTATTAGCTTAAGTTATATCATATATCGCAAAATTAGATCAAACCAGAACGCTAGCAAAATCAATCCACAAAAGCAAACAATTAATATAAATTAACGAATCAACAAATAAAATCGACAAAACGAAAACTTACGGTACGAAACAACAGAGATCAAGACATGAGATGAGGTATAGAGAAAGTTGAATCTGGAAAAAGAGATGGGGGTAAATGAGGTAAGAAAAAAACACCTTTCTGTGCCTGGCGTTGAGCTCCTTAGAGACGTTGGCCTTCTCGTTCATGGTGACAAAACAAAGAATCGGAACCTGAGAGAATGAAAATTTGAAAGAAACGAGAGGGCAAACTCGTCTTTCCACTCCCTCTCCCCTCTCGTTCTCGCTGATTTTCTGTTGGGAGAAAGAGAAAGAGAAAGAGAAAAATCAAAGAAAGAAAGACTCTCGCCGGCTTACTTTGACTTTTTTCTTTTTTCTTTTTTCTTCAAATAAAAATAAAAATTTGTATTTATACAGATAGATTTATTTTATTTTCGGTTTTTATTTTATTTTTCTTTACTTATTATTTTTTGGTGGTGTTATACGTGTGAGCAGAGTTGGTGGTGATGGTGCTGGTGAAATGAATGATTATTTTGCTGTGCGACACCTATGACAGGAGATGTTCCCCTTTTTTTTAATAATAATAATAAAAAAGAATTTACGCCTAGAAGTAAACAAGTAAAGAAATGAAGTTAATTTTTTTTTTTTCTCTTCCTCGTTATTTTGCTGCCATTAAACAGAGGGTAAAAGACACAGTACTTTCCTATTTTCTAAAAAACATATCTTAAAAATGAATGGTTGGATTTGTATGGAAAAAGCATAAGCAAAATGTCATGATTTTGGTAGGTTAGAAGTGTAGTTTGCAAAATTATCAAAGCAATTTTGGGGCATTGGATATTTAGGACTTCAATTAACTTGAAAATTTAACAAATTCCAAGGTCTTGAGTGATTTGATAGAAATTTTAATTGGGTGTATTACATTAGAGTACTTGAGTTCGAGTCCCTTCTCGATTGTTAATAAGGATGATCATTGAAACTTTTACTCGATCAATAGTTTTAGGATCTTAGAATATTAGTTTAGGTGCGCATAAACTGATTCAGACACCTTAGTCACAAAAAAAAAAAAAGTTGGAAAGTTATAAATATATTATCATTTTTTTATCTATATATAATTATATATCGTTTATGAACATTGGTTTAAATAATTTAGCTAAATAGGAGAAAAATAAACTAAAATATTTATGACTATTTCTAATGTTGAAAATTAGAAATTGGGTTCCTTTTAAAAATGAATATAAAATAAAGTTGGAAAATTTATAGTGGGAATCTAGTTATCCACTTGGTAAAATAAAAAAAACAAGAGAGAGAGCAAAAAGTAATGGGTTGGCCACGTGATATCCACATCGACAAGGCTACCTACATCTTGATAAGTAATTTTAACTTTATATGGACATTTAAAAAATCCTAATCTTAATCATTGAATAATAATTTGTTTATTATTATTATTATTTTGGTATGGTTAATGCTAATGATTTGTCCCAACAAGGTAAATATGGTTAGTTTTGGTCTCGCATAGCTTCATTCAATTTATCTAACTTCAAGTTTATATTAGTTAATTATAATAGGATTTAAAAATGGTTTGTTTTGGACTTAATCTCATATGATGCATGTCTATCTAAATGGTTTTTGATTTAGTTTATCTTCAGAAAATTAAGATTTTTTGTGGTTTTTTTTTTTTTTTTTTTTTTTAAGTTGGTATTTGTTGATGCTTGATTTTGATACCAACTATTCGCACGTGAGAAATGCTAAGCGGACTTAGAAGTCACACGTGATATGTAAATATTCAGTTAAATAAAAGGTGAAGAACAATGTTTAAAGTGATTCAGATGCTCAAGAGCGAATCCTACATCAACTGATATTGTATTAATAAATAAAATTAGGTCACGTTCAGCGAGCTGAGTTACAATTTTCAGGATACAAGAGAGAGGAGAGAAAGAGAGTTATTCTAGAGTGAAATTAGCTAATCCCGCAAATGAGAGAGAAGACCTCTATTTATAGTGGGACGAACCAAGGTAATGATTACTAAATTTGCAAGTGGGTGGATACCATGCAAATCCTTCTCTGCGTCCCATTGTTCACCTGCTTGAGTGATTTCCTTGACTTATACAGGGATTGGACGCGTGGATGATTTCCAACCATCTGCTAACTTGGCACTCACCCACTGCACTGACAGGGGCATGCCGCTTACGTCATTATGCGACATGGGTGCGTTTGAACAGTCGTAGAACCTTCCCAAGTTCTGATCATCTCATGTTGACAAGAATCCGCGTCAGCCCTACTTTTTTAGGTATAACAGAAGTCCCCTAGTTTTTAAGGTTTGAGAATCGAACCTTGAGAACTTCACAATTATACCTTGATTTGATATGTCCTGAATGAAGCCTAGTTGATCCAACCTGGCTACAATGAGGTCGTAAAACACTTTCCTACCAGCGGCTTGATATGGTCTCCTTTCGCAAGATTGATGACCTGGATCAGACCCTATTCAGTGCTGTATCAATGTGTCTCTTATCTTAACCGAGGTCCGTGACCTGATTATACTTGCATATTTCTGCTGAAAGAATCACATCGCTCTGCAACTGACATGCAACAAAGAGTGTTCTGTCCCAACGACCTCTTCAGATGTTATCTGTTGTGCTTGACAGCTAGTCCATTAATGAGGCGTACTTTATTTTGACAAGCGTGTCCTATACGCAATAAATGCCAGCCATGCGTATTAAATGCAAGCCATGCTGAAACGACATTCCTTATCAGGGCATTAAATGCGGATGGGAGCGCATTTAATGTGGGTGAGAGAATCGAGCCGTCGCTCGATCATTTCAATGGAGAGACGCGATGATTGAATTTCTTAAAGTGTGGAGGTTACTTTTTCTCACTGATTGACAACACGTGATCGCAATCAGCGGCCAGGAAAGCATTCTATCCAAACGTCGCTCGGCTTTGGAAATCCCAATCGCCATTCCCTCCATTATAAAACCTTAAGCTCCCTTCAAGCAATGTCAGAACACTTACATTTTCAGAAGAAAGCAAGGAGCTCTTACGAGACCAGACTTCCAATTTTTTAAGTTGGTACGCATCTTCTGCTTATAGGGAGAAGTTCGAACCCCATAGCCAAAAGAAAGAGGTAAGGAAGGTCCGTTCGTTGCTTTTCTTTTTCTATTTTGAGTGTAGTTAACCAGTCGATAATGACGGGTTTCTGTAAGGAATAGGTTTTTAGGGTTCAAGCTGTTGGGCGTGGTCCCCAAGGGTTTCTAGGGTTTTACTATTCCTCGTCATCGTACAAAATTTTGTATGAAGATTGAGTAATCTTCACGTGTCCCCCCTTTTCAGACCATAGACGATATAGACCCACAGCGACTAGATCGGATGAGGGGACAAGCTCGCAGATGCAAGACGCCCCATGGGTCCTGCGCAAGAGATTCTGTCGGTAAACACCTGAGATAAAGTACAGAAGGCAGTAGACCAATACACAATTAGCGTGGACGTCTACCGTTACTGGAGGCATACAGCTCAGAATCCGCCAGAGGGAATGGCTGTGATCTTCGAAGCTATATTCAAGTGCGGAGCACTGATTCCCTTCCATTCTTATATCAGGTTGATCCTTGATCACTTCGGGGTTGCACCTTTACAACTGATGCCTAACACGAATATAATAGCCGTGGCTATGTATATCGCGTACGCCAAGTACGACCTCAGCTAACTGACCGCGCTAGAGCTCGTTTGCTCGTACTATTTAAAGAAGAGCAAAGACAAGATTCTTACTACCTCTCGAGGTAAACCATGATTGAGGGAGGCATCCACAATTACCCCAACAATGTCGGGGCATACGAGACCAAATTTTTCTTTTTTCATTATGATGACATCTGCCACTTTAGGGAGCTGAGTAGGTTTTTCCCCTGATTATACTTGGTGATTTTTTCCTTTCTTTTTGGCTTTGTTTTCTAATGATCTCTCTTGTCTCTTCGCAGGGAACAAGTCGACCAGGCTGATAGACCTTTCTGACCTCAACCAAATAGTTTCATTCGGTACCCTGCCAAAGTACTGTCGCGACATGAAGTGATTCGTGACAACCGCGAACTTGAGGAAGTACGACTTCTTCAACTCTAGAGCAACCTTGGAACCCTTACTTCGTAAGTGTCCGTGATCCCTTTAGATTTTACTTCTGCATACAACGAGCCTTTAACTAACAATACCTGTATATAGCAAGCATGCCACCTAGAGTGCCGAAATCATTGAGGGAGAGAGCATTCATTTTTTCTTGGGTCGACGCCATGGGACCATTGGAGAAGGGCCCCAACGACACCTATGCTGAAGGAATGCAAGTGGGGACGCAACCACCCATCAAACAACCAGACGAAACTGTTCAGCCTGCGGCTGCTCGCCCAAAGTAGAAAACCATAGGCTAGAAGACCAAGAAAATAAGGGTGCTGGAGCCCGAAGAGTTAGAGTCCGAGCCAGAGGTCTTGGGGGTGCAACCTAAGAAGTCGTAGCCTTATCAAGCTCTTCATACTGGACGGAGCTTGAGGCACGCGACTGGGACCATAATTCTCCTGAGCCGTTCGCGTAGAGGACAGACTGTGACCTCTGGGAAGAGAAAAGGCAAGGGGTCAGCTAGCGAGGTGCCCTTAGCTATACCTTGGTGCTAGACTTCATGGGTCAGCTTCTGGAGCACCTTCAACCGGTAGTGTTCAGCCTTTTGCAGTACCAGCTTGCCAAAGTTTTTGATGAGCTCGTGGCCTCCAACCCTGCGAACCTGATGATCAGGGCAATCCAACTGCAAAGCCAGGTAAAATGGTTTATCCTCGTCGAGGACTTTCCAATACTTACTCTTTTTCAAGAAAGCAGCCTAACACTTGCTTATTACTTGTGCAGTCTTTGCTCGCCCTACACTTGGCCCAACAGAAGACCCAGCTGGAAGCTGCTAGGGGACTCTCCGAGCTGAAAGAAGAGAATGCGTAGCTGAGGCCGGATTTGGCAGCTGCGAAAGAAGGGTTGGACCTGAACATCATCCAGAGAAATCAATACATATCGGAGAGGAACTCTGCCCTCAATACGGTAGAATTCCAGAAGACCGAACTGGAGAAGAGGGGAGAGGAGCTTAAACAGCTTCAAAGGACGGTGGCCAGGCTTAGCAAGGAGGTTGGCGAGAAAGAGGTGGAGCTGCGAGTGAGCTCTGAGCTGGCCTTATGTGTAAAACCCCATTCCTGATTTTAGTTAGATCATGAATTGTATTTAGTTAATTAATTCTTTTTTTAATTTGATTTTTGGTATTGTGGTAAGATAGGGGTATTTCTGTCACTTTTTAAAGCTGTGTTAAGGGGGTGAAATCGAAGAAATAAATCCTGATGGGTTTGCATGTAT